TGTGGGCGGCAACGAGATTGGCTGGGATCGGGGCCCGTGGGGTTTTCGCGTCAGCCTGCCTGGCCAGGACCTCTGCCACGCCTACCTCGAGCAAGTGTTCCAGGACCTTCTTAGCCAGGGAATCGATTCGGGCAACCTCGGCTAGAGATTCGGGGGGGAGCTGGGCAAAGGCAGCCCCCCTCTTAGCTGCCTCATCAGCAGCCTCATCACGTTTCAATCCGCCTTCGGAGACAAACCGGCCTATGTCAGCCTCGGTGAGGTGGCTTTAATGTTGATAAACCGCGTTTCCCCTGGCCTGGCGTTAAATCCCACCAGCCCTCTGGGCGTAGGTGGTCTAGAGCAGATCCTCTTCCACCCCTCCCTCTTCCCCCTTGGGGAGGGGTTTACCCCTCCCCCTACCCCCTCCCCTGGACCTGGACGGGGGGGGCCGCGGGTAGTTAGAGCGTCCCAGATGGCCCAAGACGGCTCCAAGAGCGCCTCAGAGAACCCAAGATGAGCTCCAAGATGGCTCAAGATAGCGCAAGATCGCTCACGATGGCTCCTAAGATGGTTCCAAGAAGCCCAAAGACGGCCCCAAGATAACTCCAAGTGGCCAAACAGCTCCCCAAGGAGGCCCCGAAGAGGCCAAAATCGTCCCAAAACCTAAGGAAAATCAATGATTTTTGCTTTCTCGCCTTTTCGCTTCCGATGGCTATCCGAGGCCTGGAGATGGCTCCAAGATGGCCCAAGAGGGCCCCAAGAGAGCCCCAAAAGAGCCCCAAGACGGCCCCAAGAGCGCCCAAGAGCACTCCAAGAGCGTTCCAAGAGGGGTCCAAGAGGCGATTTTAGGGGCTTCCGAGGGGGGGCGCTAATTAAACCCCCCCTCTTGTTTGATCGACTCCCTCCAAGATGGCCCCAAAAGCGCCCCGAAGGCTCCCCAGAGCGCCTCAAGAGGGTCCCAAGAGGCGCCCAAGATGCCCCAAGGCGCCCAAAAAGCCCTCCAAGAGGCCCTCAAAAGACCCCCAAGAAGCTCCTTCCCCTCCTCCTCCTCCTCCTCCGATTCTTCCTCCTTCTCCGTCCTCCTCCTCCTCCTCCTCCTCCTCCTCTTCCCCCCTCCTCCTCCTCGACGACGACGACGACGACGACGACGACTCCTCTTCCATCCTCCCCCTCTCGGGGTCTGTGACAGCTTCCCCCGCCCTTTGTTATTCTGCATGCTCCCCGACTTCCCTGATCACCTCAACTCCCCTGAGCATCGTTTCTGGATGGGCTGGTGGGGATACGCGAAGCGTCAACAATTCCTACCAAAACCGAGCCCATGCTGTGGCACGCAGGGGCGGGACCTGGCCTGGGTCAGCACGGATTTCTTTCAAAGCGTAGGCGCAATCTACCAGAAAGGTGGCTGGTCCCGCGGTGTGTTTGAGGGGCTGGGCGAGGCCTTCGAGTTCCGCCAAGGGCACCGTCTGTTGCCTACCGAGGAGAGGGCCCCAGGCTTCCCCAAGGATAGCACCATGGGGCCACATGACAAAACCCCAGCCACATCTACGAAGCATCGGGTCACTGGCGTGGTCGCCTCCGCTTTCATCGGTACCTACAAGGGCATCTGGGGAGAGCTGAAGACGCTGGTCGTGAACAACCCCTCCAGAACACTCAAAGGTCCATTCCGGGAACTGGTCTATGTGCGGGTATATCGAAAGGATCGGAACGATTCCACGATGCCAGAAGCAAGCCCACTCTTCATGTTCGCCTCGCACCTGCAGGAGGAGGTCAAAGGCTGTGTGTTCCTCGTCCTCCTCCTCCTCCTCCTGCTCCTCCTCCTCCTCCTCCTCCTCCTCCTCCTCCTCCTCCTCATCCTCCTCCTCCTCCTCATGATCTCATCCCTCCCTCCTCTTTCCCTCTTACTCCTCCTCCTCCTCCTCCTCCTCCTCCTCCTCCTCCTCCTCCTCCTCCTCCTCCTCCTCCTCCTCCTCCTCGTTGTGAAAAATCACGATGGGAGGTGTTGCGTTATTTCCGGTCTCCGGGGGCCTTTGCCGAGCCTCGGGACCGTCAAAGAACGACTCGGGAGGAAAAATCGGTCCCAGGGAAGCGGTCCAGTGAAAAAAAACACGACGTCGGGGGTCTGGGTTGACTAGTACCCAACGTCTGCAACGCATCTAGCACTCAGTGGAACACGCACCTAGATGCAGACACCAAGGAGGGAGTGTTCTGGTGCGCCTTGTGTACATGCATGCGCAAGTACAGCACAAGAACATGTAGGAGCGACCTTCACATGAGACGTGTGGGAGAACCTATGACCAACAATCATTGTAACAGGCGACCTTCACGTACAGACTGCAACATACATGCGCAAAACAGAATGCACACATAAACCGAATGACCCTACAATCACCAAAGACGGCCATCCCTGGCGTCCTCCGCCCTTCTGGACTAGCTTTGTGTAGCGCATAGATTGCTTCCGTGAGCGCCGTGCCTCGGATTTCTGGCTTCTCGAACGACCTGCCACGGAAAGCTGTATTGAAGGGCATCAAGCGCTGACTGAAGCGCGAACCATTTTATCGAACATACACACACAGTTGGACTTGGTGGGCCGTCTCGACGCAGCGCCAGATCCCGAAGGCTTCTCAAGAGACCTGGCGGCACGTCAATTCGAAGGGCTACCACCCAGGGCCATCACCCGCTAGGAGGCTTCCTCTGCTCGGACGTCCCTGCTCCCGAAGTCGCTGCAGCTACACCAATGGCCACGTCGGGCTCCACCGCCCAGCAGGGTTCAGCAAGGGAGTAGAACGTAGGAGGTGTTAGGGGATTCTGAGGCTTCTGGATGGTACGGGGAAGGGGTAGGGAGAGGAGGAGGAGGAGGAGGAGGAGGATGCGGAGGAAAGCGAAAAGAAAAGGGAGGGGACAGGTAGAACAGGAGGATTCATTCGAAGTGTCAAGAGTTTGTAGATTAAGCGATGGACTTTGCCACGGCATCAGAAATACTGGCGCAAATAAAGATCTTGTTGCTAAGCTTCCGGTAACTGCTTAACAATACTTCTAGTTCGCGCGCGCGGGGCGGTCCCTGGGGGTCCCCCGGCGAAAAGTACCCCGACCGCCGCCCGACCACTGCTACTCAGAGATGGTTTTCCTCCTGGGTGTGGCTTCTCAGGCCCCCTAGAGCGCGCCAAGAGTGCCCCAAGAGGCCCCCAAGACTGCCCGAAGGGCCTCCGAGACGCCCAAAGAGCGCTCCAAGACGCCGATGATGACCCCAAGACGGCCCAGGAGGCCTCCAAGTGGCCTCCAAGAGGCCTCACAAGAGGGCCCTGAGAGGCCCAAATCAGACATTTTACGATGGTTTTGAAAGAATTTGGGCCTTGTCCCCTTTTCGGCCATCCGATGCTCCAAGACGGCCCAGGAGGCCCCCAAGAGCACCCCAAGACGGGCCAAGAGGCTTCCACGAGGGCCCCAAGAGGGCCCAAGAGGGCCCCGAGACGACCCAAGAGGCGCCCAAGACGGCCCAAGACGGCCCCAAGACGGCCCCAAGAGGGGCCCAAGAGGGGGACCACGAACCAAAACCTCGAGCCTTCCGCCCCAAGAGGGCCCCAGGAGGCCCCGAGAGGCCCCCAAGCGGCCCCAAGATGCCGCCAAGAGGCCCCCAAGAGGTCCCAGGAGGCCCCCAGGAGGCCCCCCAGAAGGCTTCAAAAATGCCTCCCAGGCGCCCTCGAACGGCTTCTGAAAAGACCCCAAGAGGCCTCCCAGAGAAGCATCTTGACGACGACCCTGTTTGGCCCCAAGAGCAACACAAGATGCCAACGAGAGGCTTCCTCCTCCGCCCCTTCCTCTTCCTCCTCCTCCTCCTCCTACTTATCTTCATCCTTCTCATCTCCTTCTCATCCTCTCCTCCTCCTCCCCTCCCCTTCCCCATCCTCATCTTATTCCTCCTCGGCGGCGCCACAATGGCCCCGGGCCCACGGCGAAGCAGTAGCGATCATGCAACATGGGCCGGCGGAATGAGCGAAGCGATTGAATAAAGATCTTGTTGCTAAGCTTTGAGAAGTACCAATGACAGCTACGTCCTCCAATGTGAACCAGCGGAGATGCTGTCTACTCCAACGAACGGCCGATCCTTGTCCTGCATATATCAATGGACTCACCGGATTTGGTTCATAGACGCCCACTGCGCGGAGAACCGATCTTATCACGATCTCCAACGCCTTCGATGTTGCCTAACCACGTACGTGCATTCTTGGTATTAAAATCACGGCACCGCTCACTTCTCATATCCCACGCAATAACTGCACTGTCAATCATGCCGCTGTCCAAAGAAATACGGTTGTTGTCTGTGCCAAGTCGTTGATAACGAACGCAATGTTTCCTAACATCGTCGTGACCGCCTATATTCGTAAATGTTGGATCCTGCACGGTAGCGCATTGATTCTTGAACCAACGCTGGTCTTTCGCCAGGGACCAAAGAAAGATCCAGGCGCCAGTCCTCAGCGAATTCTCCACGAACGTCTGTTTATAGTCTTTTGCGCCTACCCAGTCATCTCGCACTGCGAACATCGCAATGTTCGCATCCTGCCAATAAAGGCGCTCTGCAATTGCGAAGGCCCGAAAGCCTCCATGCATCTTGAGTAACGTTGTATTCCTCCGCATGCTCTTGTATGGCAAAATGCTCGTCAGCACAGGGATCAAAATCTTGAATAACCTTCTTAGAAGTGCGATTAAACGAAATATCTGCATGTGCTCCAGCGGTACGGTACGCTGCACTCTCGGCGGATTCATATCATATATTATATATGGAGAAGCCCATGAGTCATCGCACTGTCGACAGCATCTTACATCTCTTCAGACTGAGAACCAAATGCCACTCCGAATATCACCCCTTGAAAACACTCCTGCTCTTTCAAATCCTTCAACTTATTGGAAACATCACCGAGAAAAGTCACGAAATTAATTTGCCGACAGAATCCACAAGTGATTGAATTGTCCATGGCCTCAAAGCTTGTAAGCTGCACTTCAATTGCGCTTCAGAGGCCAAAGAATTACACGTCCCGTGAAACTTCAGACTCCTTTGTAGCGCAGCTCTGATTGTGAAAAGACGCAGGGAAGAGACTTGCTGATATGGATACCCCTACTGCTGGCAATGTGCTATCCGCGCATATTCCCACATAAGTGCTTTCCAACGGCGTAATGATCTTGACGTCGATGAAGTGGCCAGCGGAATCAGGCCATTTCTCTAGTTCCACCCACTTTGGTAGCCTCACGTGCACCACATGCAACAACTCGGTGTCCAGGTCATTGAGGAAAGACTCCTCCGATCCGTCAGCTTTACGCCTTGTAACGCCTGTCGTGGTGATGGGGAGGACGTACCCCATCAAAGCAGAGCCTCCGTTGGCACTCTCTTCGTGGACGTTCGTGCAATCCGTGTCTGCCCATCGCTCAGCCTGCCAGTCTGGGCCTGAATCTTGCCGTCGTCGCTTTGGACCAGCCAAAGAGCACCTTCAGAGACGAACGTGACGTCACTGCGGCTGTCCCACGTCGCGAAGGACGCGTCCGCGGCCCCGCGCCTCGCCGCCACGCCCCCGAGAGGGACGCACGCGCTCTGTCGGAGCAAAGGGGCCCCGGGGACGCACAAATGAACATACACAGATCCCAGGATCCCCCATATTTTCACACTTGTGTCTTCTGGAGTCTCGTCCTCCCCCCCACTTCCCATATATCTTTTCCCATATCCTCCTGGGCATCGACGATTCATGGCGTCTGTATGTTTGTCCTCCTCCCGACGGAGGCCTCGACGATGGCATCCGGGCCAGGCGGCGGCCACGGCTCGCGCAGGGGCTGCCCCAACGCCGGGCCCGCCCGGCGCACCCGGCCGCGGGAGGATGTGGGGCTCACTTCGCTCGGGAGCTCCCGAACGAAGTGAACCCCACCCTCCCCCTCAGAAATCGTGGGGAGTAGGGGCAGGGTTCGCACGTGGCCCCCCTGGAAATCAAGGGTAAATTTGAGCCTTCGGGCCCCACCCTCCCCCTCGGAAATCGTGGGGAGCAGGGGTAGGGCTCGCGTGTGGCCCCCCTGGAAATCAAGGGTAAATCTGAGCCTTCGGGTTGGGTTGGGGTGGTTTGGTGGGTGGTGACGCTCCCCGAGGCGAGCGTGCGCAGCGGGTGCGGCCCCCTGCACGCAAGCATGGCGCGGCCGGGCGGGAGAGCGGAGGACTGGGGAGGGTCACGGAGACGAGCCGGCCTTGAGCCAGCTGGGCTCCGCGCCTAGAGCCAAAGAGGATGGACACGAAGGATGCGAGGAGGATGGCGGAGAAAGCAGCAGGGCGAGGAAAGCCAAGTGAATACCTGACGGACGAAAACCTCAATGCGATGCCCCCTTCCTCTTCCATCTGACCCTCTTCCGCACCACCACTATCATCACCGTCACCACCACCACCACCACTACCACCACCACCACCACCACCACCACCACCATCATCATCATCATCATCATCATCACAACCACCACCACCACCACCACCACCACCACCATCATCATCATCATCATCATCATCATCATCATCATCATCATCATCAGCATCAGCATCATCATCATCATCATCATCATCATCATCATCATCATCATCATCATCATCATCATCATCATCATCATCATCATCATCATCAACATCACAATCATCATCATCATCATCATCATCTCATCATCATCATCATCATCATCAGCATAATCATATCATCATCACCATCAACATCGCCATCATCATCACATCATCATCATCATCATCATCATCATCATCATCATCATAATCATCATCATCATCATCATCATCATCATCATCATCATCATCATCATCATCATCATACCCACCGTCATCATCATCAGCAGCAGCATCACTGTCATCGTCAGCATCATCAGCATCATCATCAGCATCATCACCATCATCAGCAGTAGTATCCTCCTCATCATCATCATCATCGTCAGTATAATTATCAGCATCGTCATCAGCATCTGAATCATCAGCATCATCATCAGCATCATCGTCTTCATCATCCTCATCATCATCGTCATCATCAGCAGCCGCATGACAATTATCATCACCATCCTCATCCTCATCATCATCACCATCATCATCAGCAGCATCATCACCACCACCATCATCATCATCAGTATCATAACCATCTGAATCATCAGAATCAGCATCATCATCATCACCATCAGCATCATCGTCCTCATCCTCACCCTCCTCCTCCTCCACCTCATCATCGTCATCCTCATCATCATCGTCATCATCATCATCATCATCATCATCGTCATCATCAGCATCATCATCATCAACATCATCATCATCATCATCAGCAGCATCAGCATCATCATCATTATCATTCCCCCAATTTCCTCCACATCCTCGCCCTTCCTTCCCCCTCATCCTCCCTTCTTCCCCCTCCTCCTCCCCGTCCTCGCCCGACGGGATCTAAGCCGCGCCTTCTTGAGCAGTTCAAGTGACGACGTGTAGTGGCCGCAGCTGAGGCACCTCGAGAGAGAGCGCGCAGCAAGAGGGGGGACCTCCCACTCTCCTTCCTCCTCCTCCTCCTCCTCCTCCTCCACCTCCTCCTCATCCTCCTCCTCCTCCTCCTCTCTCTTCATCCTCCTCTCCTCCTCCTCCTCCTCCTCCTCCTCCTCCTCCTCCTCCTCCTCCTCCTCCTCCTCCTCCTCCTGCTCCTCCTCCGATTCCTGTACATACGTATACGCATGCATGTGTATACGCATGCATGTGTTCATGCATGTGTGTACAACACGGGGGCAGGAGGGGCATCAGGAGGGAACAACCAAAAAGACGAGCCCTTGGGGAGACCAAAAGGTACCCATACCGCTGCTCCCCGGACCTCTCCCGGGGTGCGTTCTGACCAGGATCTCGAGGCGAATCCAGCGGTGGGGACGAGGAAGGCCCAGGAGGCCAAAAAAGGGGAAAACGGGCGAAGGGTAGAGGTATGGGTACCCGTTCCTCCTCTGAGCACCGCTCCCCGCGGGACCGGGCGCACCACCTCGCAGCAGGGGCCCCACTGGGCAGCACGAGCTCCCCCGTCAGGGGGAGACCGGCTCCGGCGGGGCCGCGCCGGCCTGGCCTCGGCGCTGCACCGCCGGCAGATCGGCGGCAGGCGTCGGGGATCTTCTGACCCGGGTCAATCCAGACCCGGGTCAGCAGGAAACCAAAAACTGCAACGCAGGAAAAAAAAGACTGCAACGCAGATCTTCGCAAACCCGGGTCAGCCAATATGCGCGGCCGCCTCGCGGCCACGAGCGGCTCGCTAACCCGGGTCAGCCAGAGGGGGTGTTCGCAGGATCCTGCAGGATCTGGTGCCCTGGCTGACCCCGTTTGCATTGACCCCCGTCTCAACGCTCCCGATAGCGTCAAACGGGGCCTGTCCCGCCTACAGGCCGATTCTGAACGAAAAACAAAAAAACAAAAAAAACTAAAAATGCTCAAAACTGGTCAAAAAATAGTCCCCAGACTATTTCTTGACTGTTTCTGAATATTCCCCCCGTAGGGGGACAGGCCCGACTTCACGACAGCGGAGCCGCACGCTCCTGGGCTGGGAGGGCTGCTGGGCCCCTTCCGGCGATGCACGGGCGATCGGGGGCCGACGCATCCCCAGGGGAACGAACGATGGCATAAACGTAAGGGCCTCATGCTCTTGAAGGGTGTTCTTCTGGCCTTGGGGTCCGACTGGGGGCTCCGGGGCGGATTTCGGAAACAAGCGATGACATAAACGTAACAACTCGGAGGTCCGCGCAGATTTCTCGGATCGGCGCTGGAGGCCCCTGGCGGCGCCTCCAGCGCCGCCCCTGGCGCGCTCCGCGCGCCAGGGAGGGGGTCCAGCGCCGACCCGAGAAATCTGCGCGGACCTCCGATTTGTTACGTTTATGTCATTGCTTGTTTCCTAAATCCCCCCCAGAGCCCCCTACAGCCAACCCGTGCAGTAAGGATGCGGGATAAGGATGCAAGGGCCTTGGACGCCCAATTCGAGGCTCTTCGAGCGGGGCGCGGCCAACGAAAGTGGCCAAGGATGGACCGAGGAGGCGAGGATGCAAGGGTACCCTTGGGAAGGTTGCCCATCCTTACTATGCGGGTTGACTGTAGTCAGACCCCCAGGCCAGAAGAACACCCTTCAACAGCATGAGGCCCTCCGCCGGCCCAAGCGGAGGAACGTTCGAGGGCGCCCTCCCCCAGGATGCGCAGGACCATCCAACACACGCACGAAGAACACGAGAGAACCCTCCCCGAGCCGACCTCGTTCTCGATCCTGTACCTCGGTCCGACTACCGTGCGGGCGCGGCCGCAAGAAACCCTCGCAAGAAACCCAACGCTGAGAACCCGTGCGCGAGGTGCACCTGAGGGAGACCTGGAGCACCCTGAACGCAGCAGCTCCTTCAACGGCTGCGGGAAGTCGCCGCGCAGCGCGAGGAGCAAAGAGAAGCCCAGGATACCCAGACGAAAAGCACGCCCCCACTGTTCGGGTGTTGCTAGAAGTGCCCCTGGCCCAAGGTACCCCCAGGATTTCCAAGGAGGCCCCCATGGCCTCGAGAGCACCCCTCACGAGGCCCAGAGGGCCCCAGGGGCTCCAAAATCAAGCGAAAAGCTGGGGACACCTTGGTCCAGGGGCACCTTTAGCAACCCCCGAACTGTATGAGAGAGCGATAGACAACAAAAAAACCCTCAGCCACCGGGGGGGGGGGACTCAAAGGGGAGGCCCCCCCCCCCCCTCGCACGGAAGAACAGGATGGGGGCGGCGCAAGGGAGGGGAGACCTCCCCCCCCGGCACGCTCGCGACCCTCGTCCTCTCCCGCGTGAAAGCTCCTCGCTCGACACTGGAAACTCTATTTTTTTTCTCTCTCTCTCTCTCTCTCTCTCTCTCTCTCTCTCTCTCTCTCTCTTCTCTCTCTCAAGAGAAGACCCCTCGCCCGCCCCTGGCACTCGAGACTCACTCTCTCCCCCGGCGCCCACAAAGGGGAGGCTCCCCCCCCCCCCCCCCCCCCCCGGCACTCGAGACTCACTCTCCGCCCGCGCTCACAAAAGGGGGGGAACCCCCCCCCCCCCCCAAAGCACTCGAGACTCCACTTTCTTCCCCGGCGCTCACAAACAAAGGGAAGGCCCCCCCCCCCCCCCCCGCCGGCACGCGAGATTCACTCTCCTCCCGGCGCTCACAAAAAGCGACCCCCCCCCCCCCCGGGAGACCCCCCCCAAGAAAAAAGATCTTAAAACAAATAAGGATATTAAAACAAACAGCGAGCTCGATGTCGCTATTTGTTTTTACAATCCGTTATTTTTTTTTACAACCCGGAGGGCCCGGTAAAACAAATAAGCTATTTGTTTTTA